ACTTCAGTAAAAGGAAGTAGGAAAAGCAAATTTCAGATTAATCTTTTTTTGATTATGAAATCCACAAGATAGAGATCACCATACTATGTATATATTTAGACATGCCTTAGCACATTAATGAAACTGGTGCATCATCCAGATTTGCTTTACACTTCATATTTGAAGCCAGAAAATGAAATTTTATGTTTTGATATGTGTCCAGGACAAGCATTTATATGCCAGGAAAGATTCTTCTACTCCCACAAACACTTCATAAACCAAATACAGTAAACCCAAATATTAACTTTTGACATCACCAGAGAAGGGGGAATTCTGTTCACTTAGATGGTATTGTTTTCTTCTAATGCCAGCCTATATCAAGAAGAAAATATCAAACTGCAAGATTAAATGAAACATGTATTAGTCTTTTGTCCAACAGTGCTTTTCTGATGCTTCTTCAGAACTGCAGGTAGTAGTGTTATACTCTTTAAACCAGTATTCTTCAGTCTGCTTTTCTGCTAAAAGTTAACAGTACTGTTGTTCCAACAGGGCATAATGGATAAGCAAATAAACATAAATTGTTTATTTGATTAAGTACCCCTGAACACTTTTAGACATCAGGCATTAGTATTTAGATATGTTATTAACTACTACAGCTGTAAGCCTATAATATGAAGAAAAAAAAGAATGACAGTATACCTTAAAGCATACACAGCTCTTCAGATACAACAAAACATAGCTTCTACCAGCACACCAGTGAGATATACCAATTATGGCCTTTTCCCAAATTAAATAACTGAGCTGAAACTGAAATGTACATGGAACTTCTGCATAAAAAAGTAAAATAAAAATTCATATTTAATCTCTTCACAGCAACACACATGCTGCCAGCAGTTGCTAGCAAAAAGTTAAAATTTCTGCAACAGCATCATCATAGCTGCAATGATCACCAGTTTTAATGCAGACTTCTGGTAAGGCAAAGACAAATTGGTTGTAGGGGGGAGACACCAGAGAGAACAAGAGAAATCCCTGTATACACAGGGTATCAGGAAGTACACATCAGTGGAACAGAGGTTTTGTAAAATTTCAACAGTGCACTAATTTTCATCCTTGATTTTTAGATTGAAAAAGAAAGAAAAGCCAAGGGAAAAAAAAAAAAATTGGTTACTTTTTCCCATTCAGTAATGATCAGCCACAATGAGTATGCTGTTGCCCTCCTCTTGTTAAAGCAGTCTATTTTAATCTTGGTTCTTAATTAAAAATGAAAGAAAGAAGCCGAAGTAATTCCATCACAGAAGAACTAGGAAAGACTTGCTTTTCTTTAAGCCACTATTAGATGTTGCTTCAAACATAGTAATTTTTTTTTTTTTCCATGGGGATTCCTCGTGTCTCAGTGCATCTGTTCCTAGCATTCTTAGAGCACTGAAGTCTTTTTCCTCCTAGCTTCTTATTTTCATGAAGTTGCATGAATTTAATTCACTTTGAATCAGATTTAGACAGATTTGTCTAGGCTTAAGAAGCTAAGGCTGATGGGAGGATAGAATGTTTAAACTTAACAGGCAAAAGTTTGTTTACATAAAAAACTAGACTGGCAAAAGGTGTGATTAAATATTCCTTACAACAGGAAAACTAATACATACAAATCCCTTCCACAGGGATTTTACTTTATTTTCTAAGCTGTCATGTCAAGTCATAGGATATGTCAGTTCAAAGTCTGGACATTTCAGAAAATTTTGACTGTGTAAAGGAAAAAAACCCACAACCCCTCAAAGCCTTCCAAAACTTCAAAGTGGTCTTCACCAAAAAAACAGCAATGCAAGTGTAAGGCAAACAAACAATTGAAAAATATACAGAAAAGCAGAAAGAAGATGAAAGAGAAGGAAAAAGTTCATACTACATACACATCTTACAGAAAGGAGGTTCAGAATGGATAAAGAATTAGGTATCATATAGACTATTTGCCTAGCCTCAAATACATCAGAATTCAGCAGTCCTCCTTATATAACACGCAGTATCTTCACAGTACTCTAAAGACACAGAGGTGTAGTACGTCTTTATGAATCATGGGATTTTGTTTGGGTTTGTGACTGGAAGTCACAAGACATGCTGAAAGATACATTGGAAAGAGACCTTCTGTTGTATCTTGAAACACCTGTTTAAAACATTTCCAGAAGCACCTGTAAAAGCATTAACCTCCTTCACCTTTTGCAATTGTAAAACCAAGGTCAACTAAGACAACAGTCATACTGCTCAGGACATGCAAATTTGTCATCTTTAATTTAATTAATCTGATTATGAAAACTTTACCTGAAGAGGGAAAAAAATATGTTATCACTTCCACTATAAAAATAATCCCTGATACAATATGTGAGTATTACATTCTCTAATAGAAAGCACATAAGCCCTTTCGAAGAAGTGTATTTGGATTCAAAATTGGACATATATTCTAGTGGAAAACAGACCTTTTAGATACTAAAATATCTGCACCAAATATAAACCTACTTGAGGAGTGGAAAATCTTTGAGAGTTTTAATAGAAGCAACAACTTGTCAATTCTGTTCTCTTATGAAATGAATACTTGACATTACTTATGACATTACTTGACGGAGAAACGGCTTCATAGAACACAAATCAGCTGTCTTCTGACAAACAAGGAGGCCTACATTTACTGAATATGTCACATTTGTCCATTTTTTCCTTTTTACTTCCCTTTTTCAGATAAAAGTTACTTTTTGTGCTGAAAAATACAGCCATTTCCCCCTCCTCACTACTCTGTCATTCACTATTTCACAGTTCCTCTTCACACTGTCAGGGTAACACCTCAAGATTCCTCTAAATCTTTAGTAACTGAGGAATAACTTGGTGAAAAATAATCAGCTAGCAGTCTTGAAAAACACTCCTAATGTTTATAACTGCTGCTCAGTCTCTCTTTTCTGCTCTAATCACAAGTCCCTAAATGCTACTATGCATTATCTACCAATTAGTTATGCTAGTTTTAATCTGCTCCGTCGGGTCTACATAAACCCTCCTTAGATGATACAGCTTCAGGAGCCAGCAAGTCATCTCTGTCTGCTTAACCACATTGGCAGCAGTTTTTTGGTTTCTACCATGACATGGACAGAGCCACCCATCTCTGAATGCTGGTGCAAGGTTTGCTGTGTTAGAGAACATGTTCTGTTGTATGGAAGGACTGAAAGTATGCAGACCTGGACTGCAGATGCTACAGTTCCAATCTGATTTTGTAAGATAAAGGTGTGCAGGGTAATCACGTAACTGCCAACATGTACTACATTTTAGGTTATTTCATTGACTGAATCAAAAACTTTGGAGTAAACAAGTCTAAGCATACAATTAGAGTGTAGATCTGCTAAAAACCTTATTTATTTTAGAACTATTTTGGAACATCTTTACAGGTAAATATCATGGACTTACTCATAGCTTTTCTCTAAAATGTATTTATGGAGATTAAAGAGTATTTGAAATGTTTTACTTGCAGTAAATCTCAACTCTTTATCCAGACAAGTCCACAGTTTTCCCTTGCTGATTGATGCTAATAAGAAGTAGTTCTGTAGTTTTATTTCATGCTTAAAAATAAAAAACCCACAGTACTCTATAACCTTATTTCTAGCAAAGCTAAAACTTGGCAAAAGATCATGGAATACTAAAGTCTTACAAATATCTTCGTCACAAACTGGACAAGACTGACAGAAGTTGAATTGAAGGAGCTCTAATGTGTAATCAATAGTAATTTTATTTCCTTTCTTGTGTAGATGCATTTTGAGACAATTTGTGATGGTACTGTAATTAAAACTTTGTCTTTCTTACCCTCCAAACCATATCTCATTCCAAGTCTTTATAGAAAAAAAGTAGGCCTATGAAAGATGCCACATCAGTGAGATTTATTTCAACCTAATGAAAATGAAAGCTGCAAAAATAACTTTGATCAAGTAACTCTGCAAGTCATTTTACTTCTTATGAAAATGTACTTGGTCGTATTTTAATAGGAGGTAAAATCCTACTGCCTCTAGATTCTTTTTTAATTAACTTGATCTTTTTGGACAAGATGTAGTATAAATCAAAGGACTACATCTTGGCACGTAAGTAAGCTTATCAAGTTTATACAGACACTGTGTAGTTCAGGATTCCAAATTATTCCAAACAAAATTCAAGATACCAGAGTTTACAGTGGTTACTCTTCTTGACAAAACAAAGGAATGGCTATTCTGCAGTACAACACATGGTAAAGAGATCTGCAAGCAGGCAAGACAACACAAGACAGCACACTTCAGGTGTACAAGGTGGAGTACAGGCACATACAGAGAATCTCACAGCAAGACTTATTACCATAAGCATGGTATTGGACAGTCACAGCTAAAGTATATTCAAACACAACCCAAATCATGTTCAAGCTACCTCACAAGCATCCGCACAACTTTTGATGCGACTTTCCTGGTTTTATCCTTCCTGGGTTAAAATTAGACAGGTTTTAATCACACCCACGAGTAAAGTTTAATAGAAATTCACTTCAGAAAATGGTCATTTTGAAAGAACTTAAAGCAGACCACTCAGCATGGTACATACAGAATAAAGATGAACTTGAAAGTAGGTCCCTTTTCCTAGCACATCAGTTTTCTGCAGCTGTTTTTGGCTGCAGTCAAGTTACAAGTACTACCTGCCCCAATCTTAAAGTGGTTTAGTTTATGGAACAAAGGTTCAAGTAGATTTTTAATGGCCAGTTAAATTTTGGAACATGACAAAACATTCAAAGTATACTGTAACATTTTTGTTGTGTTTATGCTTTCTATTTTGTGACCCCAGTCATAATACATATACTAACAAATGAATACAAAACAAATCCCATGGGCTTATGGCACCACTCTTTCATCAGAGAGGCTCAAGACTGACCTACAGAAAAAATTGCCCCTTCTGCTTTTTCTTTTGCAGACCCTCCTTCCATTGCACACATTGCCAGACTTCTAGCAAGAGGATGGGCAATCATCTACTGCATATACAGCCTTTACCTGCTAGAATGCAGCATAGGTTGATCGCATTGATAATGCTCATCTACATTCAGGGAAGAAGAAGAAATTGTGGTTGCCAAGGAATCTGCTTCAAACAGAGATGGAGTGCTTGGAACTAGATCTGGTCGATGGTGTGAACCTAGTACTTCATACACAAAAATAAAGAACAACATTAACAAATTTAATTTCAAATTGAATCCAAGAATCTTTATGCAAATGTATGGAGTCACACAGTGCTCTAAACAGCTTCCTGAAGCTTCTTAATATGTATGAATTTAAATGATTGTAATATTCATGTGTTCATACCCACACTCTTGCATTACAGGACAAATTTCAGCCGCTAGCCAGTACCTTCAGCAGAATACAGAGCAACCCCAAGGTCAAATATTAAAGATTCATATGAATATCTGATGCATTCTTCTAAGTTCTAGGACTGGTATCACACTACCCGGGCCCGGTTTTCAGATGGGATTAGGCAGCTGGTTCTCCTTTGAGCCTGGCTACAGATGAGCTCTGAAACCGGCAGACTGTTTCAAGTCCTTTTTCTCTTCAAAAATACTCTGACAAAAATGAACTAACCTTCAAAACACTTCATGTGACGTATTTGTTTAAAATAATTGAAAAGAATAGCTCTGGCCTTAATCTGCTTGTTGGGCTGGGTAATTTGTTTAGGATCCCCTGAAGTCCAAAAGATTAACATCATATTATAACCTTGATTCTGACTTCCTCTTGCTCCTGAAGGTCCATTTTGCCAAATATAATTAACCACTCTCTCCATGAGAATAACCTGACTCTGAAGTTTTGAAAGATCAGCCAGATTTGGAAGCTTTCTAGTTACAGGGCTTCTAGGGTTTATACTAATTCCTTTAAAAACATTGTTTAGGCTGTTGATTTGAAAGACATTACCTTCTTCATCAAGGCTGGCATAGCTTTGTCCTTCAGCAAGAATGCCATGCTTTTCATCCTTCCACTCCTGGCTAACTGCGCACACTATTTCTTGTGATGCTGCCTTTAGGGCTGTGATGGAATTGCATCGTTTCTTCGAAGGTGAAGACTTTAAAGCTGCATTACCAATGAACATAGGTGTTGAATGATGTCATCTTATCTCCCTGCACATCTTTAACAGCATATAGAAAAGCAAACCACCTACAAAGCTGGAGTGTCTGAACAGAGAGGAAGAACACATCCAGATACAAACCCACTTATCAAACATTATATTAAAACTAGAGACAACGATACTGTTATTTCATCTATGAGTGAAGTACTTCCATCTTTTTCTGGAGTGTCTTACTGCTCATAAGACAAAAAAAAATCAGCAAAAATCTGACATCACTAAATTACAAATCTCCTATGGAGTATCAATCCTTGTAATCAGAGACAGAATGATACAGAAAAAAACCCAGAGAAGTACTGAATACTGGAGTATTCTGAAAGGTTATAATAATTTTCTGGAGCTGTGAACTACTGGTATATAATGATGTATGTGCTACTGCAGAACTTCCACTTCAGTGACATGTGTCAAACATCTTATTTGGGTAAAATAAACATTTCCAAAATATTGATGCCTTTGTACACTCAAGTATGAGCATTCCCTTTATAATTCTTACTGAGGCCTGCCTATTTACAATGGAATTTTGCATGAAACTCTAGGATCTGACCATTGCCACTACTACTGAATCATCACTCTCATCTATAGTTCTTCTCCAGAAAGATGCTAGCCAGTTCATTTCATGTTTTTCAGTTGCCAGCTGCTGACCTCCATGCACTGGCTGAAAGATTACTTCAGATGAACTGCAACAGTTCATATTGAGCTCTACTATAAAATTCTATTTAAAAGCATCAAAGTCATTTGGCTAAAGACTGAAGAAGAGAATCAGATGCATAGCTCCAGAATATTATTAAAAAAAAGCATAGTAGATAGCTGTTGAGCTAACTCTGCCCAAGGATGAATCTGCTTATGATGTTTTTATTGTTATTTATGGATGCTTGTTCTGTGCACTAGGGGAAAAATTACAAATTCAGAACAAGACTTAAGAATTCAAACTGAAATGTCTAACTCAAAGTTTAGAACCAATGTTCTTGAAGACAGAAACACTCCCAATTCTTTGTTTTACAAAAGAATGATAATGCATTTAATCCATACAAAAGTAGATTAATAGCCTTGTATGCAAAGCAGATCAGTAAGAGTGGGATATTAAGAGAAGTTAATAACCTGGAAAATGAGACAGACAAATTAAGATTAGAAAGAAAATTAGGCATGATGTCCTTAATTGTATGTCATAGCTTTCAAATACAGAACAGGTTATGTCTTGTACTGACAGAAGTCTAGTGGTCAGAATTAGAAAGAACTGAAAAAAGACTCAAATGTTCAAGAAACATACATGGCTGCATGAGACATTTCTTTTGTCGAACAGACAGAACTATCAAATTGTCTACTCCTTACATTCTATCAGTGCAGAGGACTTCCTTTAGGTGTTGTCTCAGACAACAAAGCTCCTACCAGTTCTCTGGCAAAATTATCCCAGGATTTAAAGAGAACTGAGTCTCAGAAGGCTCCTTCCTCCTTTCAGCTGAATTTTGCTTCATATTTTGTCATATTACATCAGATTCTTTTATTTTGATATTAATCATTCTTTTTTTAAGGATTTAACATTTAACACTTTGTTAATTTGCGCCAGTACTGGTAGTCTTTTTTTTTTTTTTTTTTTTCCTCTTAAATCTCATTTAGTTGTGTCCTTCATTCGTATTTTGTTCTGTCTCTATCCACACAGACTTGTTTCTCACTCCAGATAACTAATGACAATGTTAAGCATAGCACCGGTCAAAAAACCTTTTACAAAACATCTTCTATAAGAAAGATACAATGCCACATGCTTAATACTCCTGTAGTATTTGAGCCAAGTGTCCATTCCACATTTTGACATTCAACTCCAAACCAAATACAGTTCCGCAAGTAGGATTATCAAATTGCTAACTAGGATCCATTTTAGAGTATAAGTTCCTGTATGAACTACATAGTTCTAGCCAGTCAATTTATATTTATTTGTCAAGAACTCTACTTTATAAAAAGCCTTGAAACTCACAAAACACTGTTTCCTAGAGGCTAAGCACAAACATTCCTTCTCTTACTAAAAAACAGAAGTGCAATTTCAGCATGTCCACAGATTTAAAAAATAATTTGGCAGTAAAGCAGTAAGTTAATATGGATGCACATTATTTAAACCAGATGATCTGTATGTCTTATTATAAGGTTTTATACCATTTGCCATAATTGTTGAAAAAAACTCATTGCTCAGATAACCAGAACAGCTTTTCCCTGAAGAGCAGACTGGGCCACAGTGAACCCCAAGCACTCATCTCTGCCTTACTGGTATATTTATCAGGTCTTCCCTACAGCCTTCCTCACTGCACACATACTGAATGCATCTAAGCAGTCATCACCATTCTTCTCTGCATTTGCTATGCTTCAGATTGAATTTCCTTACAGTAGCATGACCAACCCATAGAGGAATTATCCATCAATTTATTAATAAGACTCTCTGAAAGTCTTATTTTCCTGAATAACTGTCACAACCTATCATGCATATAAGAAATCATTAATTAGGGTTAATCAAAATTCTTTTTCTTCTAAAGACTCTTTCACTTTTTTTTTTTTTTTTTTTTTTTTTTTTTAGTTCAGCTACTCTCAGATTTCTCCTTTCAGTCTATCCTATTCTTTTTTCTTCGTATTCAGTAATTTCACAAAGCACTTATCACCTACACTTCTGATTTCTTGTTGCTCTTAGTTATCAGTTTTCTCTCTTCTTTCTTGCTCTTTTAGACCTAACCCTTTATGTTGTTTGAATCTGACATGTCTCTAAGGTCAGGGGTCAGTGTACCACAAGCTCACTCCAAATAATTTGATTCTTTCCAAAAACAGTTGGATACTGGTCTTCAGAAAAGTGGTATTATCTTCAGACAAAATGCAGAGTAACAAAGGCTAGTACAGGCTGATAAATATTGACTTCCAGTGGTAGAAATTTTAGTGAAAATAAAACCTGATCTGAATTTTTCATGGAAGAAGCCTCTAAGAATATAAGTCTCTAAAGTTTTGGTTGTTTTCTTGGGCAATAAGAATATACTCATCACATCTGGAAGAACCATAATTTAAGGTACATATGAACTGTCATGGTCGGAGCTCAAAGAGCAGCTGAGCACCACAAAGCGGATCACTCCCCCTTCCCCCCCTCAGTGCTAAAGAGGACAAAATAAAGAAAAAGGCTCAGGAATCAAGGTAAGTATAGGGAGGGATGACTCAAGGAGAAAAGACAGACTTGTCAGGAGAAGAAAAAAAGAACATTAACAACAACAGCACTTAACAGAGTAGGACTGTGAGAATCATTACCACATCTTAAAAACACCTTCTCCCCACCCTCCCTTCTTCCTGGGCTCAGCTTTGCTCCTGATATTTCTACCTCCTTCCCCCAGTGGTGCAGACGGCAAGGAATGGGTGGGGTGCAGTCAGTCCTGCCACTTCTTCCACCTTGGTGCAGGAGTGGAACTTCTGGCATTCCTCCCCTGTTCCAGCGCAGTACCCTTCTCGTGGGGGACAGTCCTCCATGAACATGAACATGAGTCACTCCCACAGCCTGCAGCGCTTCCCATGATGCTCTGACATGGGTCACCCCTGTATGTTACAGTCCTCTCAGTGCCAAACTACACCAGTGGGGGCTTCTTCCTCCCACGGAGTCCCAGCCTTCTTCAGGTGCAGCCACCTGCTCCAGCATGGAATCCTCCACAGGCTGCACATCAGCATCTGCCTCACTCTAGACCTCCATGAGTGGCAGGGGGGCAGCCCTAATATCTCACCATGGGATACAAGGGGGCTCTGCACCAGCACACCTCCCACTATTCCTCCTCCTTTCTTCCACTGACCTCAGTGTTCGCAGAGGTATTCTCCTCACAACTCCTCCCCAAATCTCCCCCTTCCTCCTTACAGGTTCCTCTTAAATATGTTATGTCAGAGGCACAGCCATCATTGCTGACTGCCTCGCCCTTGGCCAGAGGAGGGTCTGACTGGGAGCCCAGTGAACTCAAGAAGCTCCTCACAGGGGCCACTGCTGTAGCCCCTTTCCTTCCTACCAAACCCCACCACCACTCACTCAAACCCATGACAGAACGTATGAACTTATGTTCAAGATGTGTATTCTTGAATGATAGCTAATTTTCCCATTAATTTTCAAAATCAGGCTAAATGCATCAAGTCTGAAAATAAATGTGTTCCTTAATACTTGTAAACTCTGTTGTTTTGCTTCACAGCTATATGCAGATTATGATAAAATATCTATATTGCTCGGTCCATGGGACTAAAGCAACATTAATTTGTCTTTTCAGTTTGGAATCAAGAAACAAAATGTGATAGCTATTTCTCCAGTATTTTTTTCTGAAATCTAACTTCGTATGCCTACATGGTAGCTACTGCAGTGTTCGGACTCTTTGGAAGGTACAGTGCACAAGTTTTGGCTGGGATAGGGTTAATTAATTCATAGCAGCTCTACAGTGCTATGTCTTGGATTTGTCACAAAAACAGTGCTACTAAGCACACCAAAATTCTAGTTATTGCCAAGCAGTACTTATACAGCATCAAGATCTTCTCACACTGCCCTGCCAGTGAGGAGGGTGGGGGTACACAAGAAGTTGAGAGGGGACACAGCTGACCCTAACTGACCAAAGGGAGAGCCCAGACCCCATGATATTATACTGAGCAATAAAACATGCAATAAACAGGAACAAGGGGGAAACATTCATGGTAATGGCATTTGTCTTACCAAATAACCATTACACATGATGAAGCCCTGGTTTCCTGGAGATAGCTGAACAACTGTCTGCTGATGGATAGTGGATGAATTCCTTAATTTGCTTTGCTTGCACGCTGTGGTGGTTTGACCTTGGCTAATGTTGGGAGAAGGGGTACTTCAATGGGGCTTCTGGGCCAGTTACAATGGGATGTTCTCCCACTTGTCTCCAGTTAAGCTAACCTCAACCTCCAGTACTGATAGTACTTGACAGCCCCCTGTCACTCCTGAGATCCAAATAGGTTCTGCCCCTCTCTAACTTGATGGCATTAATGTACACTGTGCCCCGGTGTCAATTAAAGCAACAAATTAAACTAATTCCCCCAAGTTGAGTCTGTTTTCCCGAGATTGTAACTGGTGAGCAATCTCCTGTCCTTATCTCAACCCACAAGCCTTTCATTATATTTTCTCGATCCTGTCCAACTGAGGAGGGAGTGATAAAGCAGCTTGGAGGGCACCTGGCATCCAGCCAGGGTCAACCCACAACACTAATAGTGATATGTATCTTACCCTTGAGAATGAAGTAAAAGGAAGGAGAAATGGAGGGGGAAAAGAGAAATAGGTAATAGTGACAAAGACAGAAGTCTTTATTAATATCCAGTGTCTGATTTTTTTCCTTGATAAAGCAGAGAAGAAATCCACATCAAAGGCAACAATGCCTTTCTTTACATACCACCTCCAGCATGTTTGAAAACAATCTTTACTTTTACAAATTAAATAGATTAAAATCAATGCGAGTATTCTTCCGATAACAGTTGCAGTACTGGACACATCATTAAATTATGAAATGTAACTTTAAGGCTGTGTTGGTTTTTAAGCTATGCCGGGACTGGAGACCACGTTGTCATTGTCTCTCCCCCACCCTCGGACACAAGTAAGGGCACAAACCCCGGGTTAAAATAAGAAGAAATTTAATACAACAGTGTAATAAACAATCTGAACAACAACAGTAGCAATGATAACAACAATAAACAGTAATAACAGTAAACAAGACAAAAGATATACAGAGAAATACTGCAAGGACACAGCTAGCCTGCAGCAGGTGCTTCCTGCCACCAAAGCCACAAAGGAAAAAGTTTCCGCACTGCCGCTGGACTTGACATCAGCATGGTATGAATAACCTGGCTGGAGATCCCTTCCCCCTCTCTGCTGGGGAAACTTAACCCTACCCTAGCTGAACCAGGACAATATCAATGGTAATATAAGGGAACCTGCTTTACCTTCAGATACCCCTGATGTGACAAAAGATATATAGCAAATAATTCTCTATACTTTTACTATTAGAGTACAATCCCATTAGCTCCAGTGAAGAAACTCAACTTCTGGCAATGTAACTGCTACATGATGTTGAAGAAAGCATTTTATTGCCAAGAGAGGAGTGTTACAAAGTAATGATTATAAAAATATCTAAAAGAGTAAAAGTCACAACTTTCTTACCTTGAATTTTCTTGAAAACTCTTGTACTCATAAACTTTAAAAATCTGTCTGAATAAAAACTTGGTCTGTGAACTGAAACACTGTCCTACAAAATTGAAAAAGGTCTTCATTACATTTGCCGTAAGTACATCACAAGTAAATTCTCAGGAAAGAAGATGGACACCTTAGGTGAACTATATCACACATTTCAGGCAAACTCAAAACAAATTAATCTTAAAACGGTTTTTCTTTTTAAATCTTAATTATTCAAAACCTTTCTCTTTAGTATTTCATTTATGAAATTGTGAGTTATTAATTATATAGTCATATTTTGCAATATTTTCCTAGCATTTGAAATGCTTTTTTTCATGTTATGTACTTTTTACAGTTACAGATTCATCAATGTCCTGCTCAGTGACCACTGTTTTATATGTTACAAGGAGAAGCAGATCATTTTCGTTATTTTTTGAAAGCTCAACAAATAAAACCAGAGCATGTATTGGGAAATGGACTGAAAACAGATTTCAGCCGCAGTCCAACCTATGTGGTGATGGTAGACTACAAATATACCAGAGCTAGCTCTTTCCTGGTCAACAGAAAATTCCATTAGCTAAAATATCAGCAGTTAAAAAAAATAGTAAAATCTACTTACCCCATCATAAACAAGAGCCTTCCAAGAATGTTCCAGCTTCTTCACTAACCTAAGCATACAAAACCAGAATCAGAACTGCTTTGTAAAATTTCCACATTTGTAAGTAATTTCAGAATAGCTTATTCAATAAAAACTTTAAATTCAACTTACCTATAAGACTGGAGAATATCAATAATACCCATAAACAGAAGCAGCTTTTCTCCTTTATGGCTTTTAGCTGGAATACCTCCCATTCTGAGAGAACAACAAAAACACAGATTATCTTTTAAGACATCTTGTCAGCAAGTGATGTGCAACCCCAAAGAAACAGGCACAACAATAAAGCTACACACCACAGTGCAAAGTAAGTCAAATGTGTGTCACTTCGCATACAACTGATTTTAAATAGCAAACCTAAAGAATCTGGGATCCAGTGGTAAATATCCATTGTAAATGAAGAGTATTTTAGGATAACTTTTAGATATAATTGGAAATATTTAAATGATCTGAAAATTGGAAAAAAGTACAAATCAGTTTGTTACTAAGAAGAATAAATAGTTTTACCTAACTAAAGGAGAATTTTTCACTTTATTGATCACATGCAAAACTCTAGAGAGCCTACACATTACTGTAAGTCTGGAAAGTTGTTCTGTATATTTTTCACTAAAAATTAAGTATGTGGTTTTCCAAAATTTATTTACAGATGGATTAGTGACAGAAAAAGTATTAAGCTGAGAAGCCTGACTGCCTAGATCTCCACTTGGTTCACTGTATTTACTCAGCCATGACCTTAAAGAATGAGTGCTCATCCTAAGACCCTCTCTTCCTACTCCACCCCCTAGAGGAAAGGTCCACTGTTTTTAGAACCAGAAACTGAAATTCAATTTTTAGTTTGTCAGCTTCCATTGACATTGACAGACTCACTACAAAACCAAGATGATGTAACACATGCAATACCTCCAAATCTTTTTTACAGTTTGAGAAATAAATAATGCAAACCTGAAACAGCTACCAAAGACATAGCTGGGAGTATATCCCCCATTCTGACACTAAAGCACAGCAGTCCCTTCTCCTGACAAAACATGGCTACAATCTACTCAACCTTTTCTTTTGGGGGAAGGAGGGGAGGTTTATTATTATTATTATAGGCACAAATTAAACCATGTAATAACAAGTCAAGTTTAAATTAATTTAAAAACCCGTTACCGTAAACTCCAGCTCAATTAACCAGTCAGATATTCAGAAGTGTTAAGTAGTGTACAAAACTATATTCTGCCAGCTTTTCCTGGAAGCTATGACTGTAAATTCAATCCAGTACACACAGGAGTTATTGCTGCTGGGTATTCATTCTTATGGTTATGTTTGTATGGCCTTACAATGAACCACAGTAGACAACTAGACCTGTAAGACCTAGGCATATTTTCATCCACCTCATGAGGTTTGCCACACTGTCAATTATGACAATACAAGTGAGGAGATAGTGCAAGAGGCCAAGGAAGGACTCAACTGTTGCAGTAGGCTTTCAACAGTGGTACGACACTGCTCAGGATCTGGGCAAGCACTACATAGCTCAAGTGATGTGGGAGCCCAGAATGGGATTCCATACATAATAACCGCAATGACCTTCTAGGGTGACCTGTATAATCAACTGAGACTTTTAGTTAAAAACCAAAACAAAACCAAAACTAAAACCCAAAAAACCTGCCAGTTTTGCCCCTTAAAACTCACCATCTTCTGTGTGAATGTGAGTAATGCTGTAAAAGCTGAGTGAAATTCAGCAGTTTTTGCCAGATAAAAAACTGAGAAGAAAGCAGCAGTTCTTAATCTCAGGAAGTACGATACACAGTTATGACTGCACTTCAGTGGCTGATGATACAGTTCTATGTACTGAATATACCACTTTGAGATGAAAATAACCACTGTAGGAATATCTATTTCAATATTAATAAATAGGTTTTGCTTATGGCTCATCTGCCTGCTTCCAGTTAAAATTAGGTTATACCTGGGACTCTTGTAATAGATGTCTCATCTCATTTATAAGTGAATGCATTTCTGCATAAATTAGTCACTGTGAATTAACCAAATTTGCTATCATATATTTAAAGATGTTCAATCTACTAATCAACAATTTAATTTCCTGCTCTGTAGCAAATCTTGATGGTCCAGCTTTTGGAGAAAAAAAAAAAAAAAAGGCTTAATCTTTCAGCTCCTGAAATGCAGTGTACTCTTGAATGTTTTGCCTCTTAATACCAAGTGGCACAGACTGAAGAAACAGAATGTACACGCTTTAACAGTAAGCTTAAGAGTGGGTTACGGCACTTACGTATTTGTTGTCCCTGTGGCAATGGAGTCCCCTGACTTCCCAGAGCCCTGTATGGACTCCATGGCTGTGGAATAAAGAACTTTCTGCCCTCCAGGACGTTTCGCATCTGATACACTCTGGGAACTCTCTCCCTCTTTTTCCTTCATGTTACTGTTCAGTATGTGGATTCCCAGTAGCAAACTGTAATCCATGATCTTAAAACTTTCTAGAACCTATCAACAAAGAAGAAATACTGAAACAAAAACAAAAACAAAAAAAAAAAGACTACATACAATATGAATTACACAGCAGCATTTTGAAAACCTAAGTAAAAATAGGCCTTCAAAGCACAAGTTTCTCTTATTAGGAGATGTGTGAAATTATAATTAAACAAAAATCTTTTACTACCCTACATAAGTCAAAGTGCTAGTTATGTAATTAGCTCAATGCTTTTGTTGCCAGTGGGACAGAAAGATGCAGAGCTGGAATCCAACCCAATGTTACATTTTAGTCAAGGAAGATATATCCAGTCGGCATCTTTTTTATTTATAGCAAGTAATCAGTTATTAGTTCCGCCATATACTTACAAACTACAGACATTTTTAAAGTCACCTTTAATGCATGTTCCAGACTTTTCTGATCATTTTTGCCTACACTACTCTCTACCTCACCTCCACCTCCTGTTTATAACTGAGAAAGTATCCTTGGAGAACTTTCCAATGTCAAAAAAAGCATTTGCTACCACCCTTCATTAACAGCTGATGGGATTCGACTACAAAAATCATGCATCTCTCTTTATTAGGCTAAATAGGACCTATTTAAACTGCAAAGGCATTTTTATTTCTGAAGCATGACTTAACCAGCCAATCATTTCTTCTAGCTCTACCAACCATTTTTGCTTCTGTCAGCAAGCAAGTTCTCATTTCATGCACATGTACTGTCCTAAGTCTCTAGTCAGTTACATCATTATGAAGTCTGGCATACTGCCATTAAAAGGAAATACAGTTCAAGTCAATATGTAAACATGAACTAAAATAAGCTGTAGTAGTAGCAGCTGTGTTAAATATCTTATATAACAGCAGTGCCAAGTGGAGAGAGAAAAACTGGTAACAAGCAGAAAGGGTATGTTACTCCTCAACCTCACAGAGCTCAGCAATATTTCATGATACATTTCGGCACAGAATGTCCTAAGATACTGGTGTAATTTTTGACATGGAATCAAGAGGCAATATTACATCTTTGTACATGAACAAGAACAAAATGTGATTTTGCAAAGATGACAAATAAAGAGCAGTAACAGCAGGTATGTCATTTTGATGAAGACTATGTAAGTATAAATATTTTTACACAAAACACTGAGATGACTTGTGAACACTAAGCCACATTTTGCAAAGCCAAAATAAGGTTTGTTGGTATTTACCAGGAAAGGTCTGCAAAACTGTATGAAGAGGAGATGGGAGTCTACTACTTAAAATTATCTCTGGGGATGTGTTAACTCCAGTATCCAAGTATATAGGCAAAAAGGTAAGAAAGCTCTGTTCCACTCCATCTGTATTTCTTATGTACTCATTGTATTAAGTAGAAGCCAAATGTACATTACAGCTGAATTCTTTTCTATCTCTGGCATTTATCTTCTATGAGGAACATGGTGTCTCAATTTTAGCACTGTTGTAAGCATTTAAAGTGAAGAAACAAAGCATAACACACTGTAATGTAAGTGTAGAAAGGCACTGGCTGATTCTGACTTCCAGACGCAAAGGAGGAGTTTAGAAGACATGGGAGGTTTGATCTTGCTCAGAGTAATCCTGCACAGAGGTAGGTTAGTTCAAATGGAACAAGAAAATGGCTGCTAATGTATTGTCTTCTGGTGACAGAACTCACACAGGTTTTCAGGATGCAAGAAAAAAGCACACTCTACATTAATACACAACAAGATAATGGAATTTTATTACACATTGTGGGGGAATGTTGGGGGCTAGTAACTTCCTGGTTTATGATCACGTATTGAAAAAATAGTGCAGCTAACAGGTCCAAAGGCACGGACACTTGGTGCTAAGTAAGTTCTAGAATTTTCTTTACTGCTTGCTTATTGCTACCCTTTACCCAGACTCTCTCAAAAAAAAATTACTATATAATGTATTAATGACAAATCTGTAATCAGTGGATGTTTGCCGCCAAATACTGAAAGTTGATTCTGGGTAGGCTGAAAATAAACTAATACAGTTCATCCTCTATAAAAATACTTATCTTAGTGCAGTCAACAACACTGTTTATGCAAAGCCTGATTACAGCGGCTAGTCACGCTTCAAAAAACACTGCCACTTTTATTTTACAGTTATAAACATAACTGCTGACAGCTCTGCCATCAACCTATTCTTTATCACCTTTACAATTAAGATTACATTAGACACATTGTGCTTTAACTGAACTAATTACATAACTATGTCTAGGACTGGCTCTAGCCTCATGGAAGGCTGTGGTATAATACGCTGCTGCTTCTTCCACAGGGACATCTTAAGTGATAAAATTAATCTGACTGCATCAATTCAGGGACATTTTAAGTGATAAAATTAATCTGACTGCATCAATTCAGGGACATCTTAAGTGATAAAATTAATCTGACTGCATCAATTCACCGCTGTCACTTAAACTACTTGTATTATACAATGGACTAAAAATCTCTTTGACTATTTATAACTTTGTTCTACAATTACTGAAAAAATAAATCAAAAAAACCAAGTAGCTATTTTGGTATTCCAGTTCACTATGAAATTGAAACACCTGCAGTTCCAATGGATTAACTGCAGTAGATATTCTTACAAACAGCACATAGCATATGAACTCTAGCCCTCATTCCCAGGCACCCTATTCATGGTCCTTACTCGGAGGCAGAATCCTCCAGTCTACAAGTGCCTTCAGGATATAATAATATGATCTGCCCCTCTGTCTGCCTACTGGTTTGATATACAGTTCTGATTAGCTCCCCTTAGAAATCTGATAACTAAACCAGCCATTCCTTACATAAATACACATCTTTTGACCAGATCTAAGCATGTTTTATTCCTGTTTGTTTCTAAGGAAAATTGTAAGAAACAATTTATCAGAGTAACAAGGAAGAATCTCAAACATTAGCATTCAACAAAAACTTACTTCATGTCAAACTCTTTAGTCTGTATTGACAGAAATTTTACTTCAGTCAGTGGGATTTCCAGCTGAATATATCTGAAGGGTTCTCACATATGTGTCAACGTGAATATTTAAAATATCAAATCATGATTATTTTTAAATGTGTAAGTAACATTTTGGAAACACAGTTGCACAAATTGATCTGGTTTGCCAAGGAAAAGTCCCAAAATGCAGCATAAGTTATTTCTGAACATGCAGCATCCTATCAGAACAGAAAAAGGCATAAGCAGATAGGTCTGATGAATTAAGGTTGAACTTCTTTTGAGAAGCAGCAACAAGTTTTTGCTACAGAGGTGCCAAAATGAGATCCTAATCTAATGAAAAAACAATCAAATCACAGTATTAAAGGGCTATATTCAGAGCAAAATGAGAAAGCCTTATAAAACACCTGATGTCATCCATGTGAGGACACTAGAAATTGACATTAACTCCCAGAAGTACAATCCTTTTGTAGTTAAAGTGAGAGAAATTCAATCTTTACTCATGTAACTACACTGAAATGCACCTTTCTAGCAAAAATGGCACTGGAAGATTTCTGCAAGAATATTCTTATTTGTTAGTACATAGCATGATTAAGTGTTTTATTTCATAATGGCAAGTAATCATTAATTTGACATTAAACTGTTCATCTCGTTTGTATTTATATATGTTTATTTCACTGGATACAGATTCTGTCAACATGATGTTGCTACTTGGTCACCAACTAGTGCTTGCAAGGCTGGCTTTAGCTGCTCCGACAACTTCCAGATGGCAAGCTTCACTCATCCCCTTCTAGCTTTAAGGCCTATTTTGCTTTCAAACCACATGAAAACCCTAGTGAAATGGCATCACAAAATACGTTGGTTTGGAACATGGTAAAATAACTCAAATCAGATTTGCTTTTCTCTGAGCTAATCAGCTGTCAAAGCATTCTGTGAATCATCTTAGACATGGTTACACTCAACTATCACAGCCAGTGACTGACTAATAGAGCACAGCAAGTATTGCTGCCATGAAATTTCATTTTTATTTTAGATACAGCCAGCCCAAGCTGTGTACCGTCTGACATAGAAATCTGCATTCACATTGCTAACCATGCAAAACAGCTCAAGTCAGCAGGTCATTTTCATAAAAGGAAAACACTACTCAAAAATTACATAATTTCACAAGCTCATGAAATACAATAACTAAAAGAATAACCATGCAAGAAAGCATTTCCTCTTCTACAAGAATTTTAGAAAAAGGACATAAAAATTAACATAACAGAAAGAAGACTGATTTTACTCTGAATCAATAACTACTCTCCAACATAAGGAGATATATTAAAATACCGCAAAATAAAGGACTACCTTGCAAAATAAGCATTTTTTAGAAACAGGTGCACAAATGTCAAGTGTCTAGTGATGTGTCTGGTTTAGAAACAATCTATCCCAAGAAAACAAATCACCAACCCCTCCAAAAGCATATGTGGAGCCACTTCCCATTTCAACAGGATTCCTGAAACATATTGTTAACTTAAACTCCTAAAAATTACAGTCTGCTTTCTGATTTTCAAAATATAAGTAAAATGAAATTTGGAATTTCATCTGATACTACAGGAGTGATAATACATAAAAGAAATCTGCAGTATCTTTCCTGCCTATTTTGCTCAAACTACTATTTCTGACAAAAAAGCCCTTCATCTAAATTAGCACATTCTCCACCTCCGTGCCACGCCATGCCATTTATTATTTATACTCTATGCTGCAGTTCAGAACTCCTTCAAGTTGGGCTGACACTACTGTTTATAAGGACATGGTGCAGAATGGGTCACTGAAATTATCTGGGGTAAAGAATAATCTGTGTAGACCCTCTGTAGTAGAAAAAAGACAAGAAAAGCAACAAACCACCACCACTACTAAGGGTTTTAAAAAATCCAGTGAATAAATTTGATCATACAAGGTCTCTGTCAATGTTGCTTCCACACAAAACAGATACATGTTCATGCCAATAACGCTTGAGATTTCTGCAGCAACTGGCTAAAACAGCAGTGAAGAAAATAATACTCAGACCTGAAGCTCAAGGGATA